TTCACGAATTTCTTTATTATGTTTTTGATTCGCTTTTGATACCCCTGATTCGAAGCAATTTCTACGTTACGGAATCTAACACACATCGGTCCCAAGTTTTTTATTTTCGTCATGACGTTTGGAGGCTAGTAGCAGAGCCATCAATGTTGAGCCTCAGGGAAGGAATGTTTGAAGAAGTCAAACTGAATGAAGCGACGCGCATTCTAGACTCTAGGCGACTGGGCTTCAGTCAGTTAAGGTTATTGCCCAAAGGCACCAAACTACGTCCCATTATGAACCTCCGACGCAGGCAAATGAAGGGTTCCAGATGGCTTGGCCCCAGCATCAACTCCATTCTCAAGCCCATCCACGCTGCATTGAAGTTTGAGACGGTACGTACTATGAGCAAACTCTTTATTTTTCCCCTTCTGGAGCGCATGCTGCGTGTAGCTACAACTGAGGCTGACCAAACGCAGCTGACGAATCCCTCTAAGCTGGGATCAACTCTTTTCGCCGTTGGAGACATTTACGAGCGTCTGAAGTTGTTCAAGGATTCTTTGATGCCAAATAGCCAACGCAACTTTTACTTTGCTAAATTGGACGTTAAAGCTGCCTTTGACACAATACCTCAGTCGTCGGTTCTGAACTTGATGCGCTCAGTTCCCAGCCAGGGTCAGTACATCATAACAAAGCATGCAGAGGTGAATCCAGGCGAGCGATTGGGTCTCACAGAAGGGGCTGGTCCATCCAAACCCGTTCGCCGATGGCACTCCACGGCCGTACCCCAGAGTGACCCGACCTCGTTTCTCAGCCGGCTGGAAAGCGGGATGGGAAGCAAAAAGAAGAATACCGTCTTCGTCGACAGTGCGGCTTTCCAGAGCCACGAAACGCGCAGCCTGTTGGCTCTGTTATCCGAACATGTCGGGCGTAACATTGTCAAGATTGGAAAGAAATACTACCGGCAAAAGAAGGGCATCCCTCAGGGTTCCATTTTGTCGACATTTTTGTGCAACTACTTCTACGCCGACCTAGAAGCTCAGCATCTGGGCTTTCTGGGCGGACCAGACTGCCTTCTGTTGAGGCTCACCGATGATTTCTTGCTCATTACGTTAGACAAAGAGAAGGCTGTTCGGTTCGTCGAGATTATGCACCAGGGCCTTCCTGAATATGGCGTTGAAGTGGGCCATGACAAAACGCTCGTCAACTTTGAGGTGCGTGTTGAAGGCGAGAGCGTACGGAAACTTGACAGTGATGGCAAGTTTCCCTATTGTGGCACGTTTATCGACTGTAAAACATTGGAGATTACAAAAGATCATCGTCCGAACAAGGATATTGGTACGTAGTAGCATTTGTAAACCTGCCGGGTCTGGTGCATCTTGAGTTCTAGCTGACGATAATTATAGACATATCAACGTCCATTACCGTTGATTTCGGACGATCTCCAGGCCAGAATTTCCAGCGCAAAGTGCTCAGTTAGTACTACCCTCTTCCCCATCTCATACATATACTCTCTAAGCACGCTGACATAATAAAACTATGTATAGACTCGTTCAAATACCAGTCTCATCTCATGTTTTTTGATACGGAGCACAATTCAGTCGATACTGTTCTTGGTTCTTTGCGCGGCGCATTCTCTGAGACTGCGCTCAAGATGTGGGCTTATCTGCGATGTTTGTCTACGTCTACGCGGCTCTCAGTGAATCTCATCATCGGTAAGTATTTCGAATCGTTGAGGTGGAAGGTTATCAGGTGCTGACTATTCTTGTGCTACAGGGACTATTAAAAAAGTTGTGGATATCGCATTCCTAATCTTGACGAGTAAGTGGAGGAAGAAGCGGTTCGAGAAATATGCCTGCGACATTCGCAAGGCGCAGGTTATTGCGTAAGTTTGAAAGTTCTATAGCCGGTGATATCGTGTGCTAACAGCTTCAAGCACCGGATATTCTGCCTTTTTGGAAGTGTTGAGTCGACGACAGGCTGGGTATGGCGAGGTGATTGCTTGGTTAAAAGAGGAGACTGCTCGGCTTGCTACGACGAAATGAGCTATGAAATTTCTTGCGGGAGAATGTAGAAACGCGTTTAATTAAGAGCTGTATACACTATTAATACAAATGATGAATCCAACATTCGTCTGTCCAAGTATCTTGTCTATCCGTTCCATGTAAACCTTTCCCACGAAGAGATTGAACCCAACAAATATGATACATGCCATCTACAATGCTATTCCAGTCTGCCACCACGTCTCTCCGATGTACAACTTAGGCAAATGATCCCAATCCCAACGCCACCAGTGATCTCCCTCATGTCCAAATCCCAAAAACCGAAACAAAGATATAGGTACCGGCTCAACCAGCCATAACCCCGTCGAAGAAAGGTCGTCAATGAAAAGGGGCGCCGTGAAGTACAACCACGTCAGCGTAAAGAAAAGATTTACAGTCCGAGACACAACCCGCGGCGGCCGTGGCAAGTACGCCCTGAAGAGCCACGCCACGCATTGCTGGAGCACAATGCCCGTCGCCTGGAGAAAAAAGAAGGCCGGTGCCCTCCAAGGCTTCGTCTTCGGCACGGAGGTGAGGCTGCCTGAAGCATGTAAGATCCCAGACTGCAAAAAGGATATGAGAATAGCCAGCAGGGAAGCGAGCCGCGTGCCCTTTTTCAGATATCCCTCTCGGAAGAGATATGTTACTGGAGCGGCAAACTGCATGCGGAACGTCTGATGCCACATGCTTCCCCACCATCCGGCGAGACCACGGTCGAGGACCTGTCCAAAAGAACCAAACGTCGAAGCAAATTGGTATAGAAACCCCCGAGAAGGATAGAAGCGCTTGGCCATCCAGTATTGCGCCAGGTCTGATACAGCAAAGACGGCCTCAATAGCAGCGTACACACCGGCAAGGCAAAAGATTTCCCTATAAGCCAGAAGAAGCCACGGGGGTATTGCTTGGAGGTGAGGCGGAAGCACGTAGTTTTTGTGGTCCGGCCCGAGGATGAAGTAAGGGTCTTTCACCATGTATACAGAGAGGAAGTCGAGAACGAAGTAGAGAACGACGACTTTGATGAGACGGTCGCGGACAAACTCTGCTTGGGTTAGATAGCGCTTATATCCGCTTCTACTGACCGTTGGTATTGAGTCCATGTCGACTTTGTCCCCGTGGGAGATTTGAGAGGGGATTGTAGGCCGCGGGAGGGATGCGACGGACCAGTTCCAACCTTTTGAAATGGACCACTTAGTCAGTCATTGTCATAACAAATATCAACTGTCAAGAATGCTACTTACCAGCGCATCGGAAGCTAAGTATGAGATCCGTGGACCATGCCAGCCGCTCAAGAAAGCCTCCCTCTGGGTAAGGCTCCCAGATGTACTCAAATTCCTCCTCTTGTTGCTTGGCCTGTGATTTCAAGCTTTTGGATAGCTTCTTTCGTGTTCGCAGCTCGTTCCCATTTCCATTCCCATTTCCATTTGTCTTTTCGCTCTCCCCCTTGCCATCATGGCCTGTAACTTCAGCATCCGCCGAGTCCTGTCCAGGAGTGTCGTCCACTTCACCGCTTATCGCTTTTGTGAAGCCAGAACCTTTCTTAATCCTCAGTACTCTAGCCGCGTCAAACTGTGGCCTCGTCCAGATAAGCAGGTTCAAGCTCAAGACGGTCCCCCACGTCGCTGCAAGCCCAGAGGCATACGCGCACGCCATATTCGTGCTCGAGGCATACCGCAAATGATAGACATTGGACCATACGATAAACGCCATTGCCAGCCATCGCGTATGATAGAACCACATCCGGCGCTTATGCGGAACAGTTAACCACAGCGCGGGTACGATGAACGGGCCAAGCAAACACCAGGGTAACAGCAGGGGCTTTGCGGTGCCGTTGGCGACGGCGAGCCTGAAGGTGTCGCCGTACGCGGTCCGGACACCGTAGCTTAGGCCTTGGATGGGCATTTTGGCCACGATGTCGTCGATGTTTGGCGGCTCCATGGCGATTTTTTGGTTCCCAGTCGCTTCCTTTATCTGTATGTTTTTTTCTTTCCTTTTCCGAATGTGTCGTGTAGTGAATGCGGCGCAAATGACACCAATGAGCAGTCGTCTCTGATCAGCCGATGGGCGTCCGCCTGGCCCTGATCATGATGCGCAAAAACACGAGTTGCTTCAGCCCAGCCGCATGTGAGACTTTAGACCGCGACCACGTTGTTATGTTTGCTTCAAGCCATGCGACTTCTGGGTCTTAGTGGCTGGTTAAGCAGAGACAAGGCGGTCTGGTGACAGGTTCAGTCGCCTTGTTTTCTCCGAATTCTCGTGGCGTCGCTAAGGAAGAGGCACCTGGCAGCTGTTATATGAAGTTGCTGGACGATACGGAGGATATCGACCTATCGGGAGAAAGGTCTGCAGCATTTGGAAATTAAAGCAGGCATTCGGCTATGGAGCTACAAGGGTGGCGACGCTAATCATCGATCTTGGTTGAGAAGTGATTGTTTGTCTGGAGTTGGAGAAGCATGATCCCTGTACGAGCTAAATCTCCCACTTTGAGATGCTACCCTGCAGCGATCCTCAATTTTTTTTTTTTTTTTCTCTTTTGTTTGAAAGCCCTCTGGGATATGAACGTACTCGAAAGGCTTGTATCGATATAATAGTATGTTTATTTTTCTGACTTGAGCTTTGTATCAATTTATTCCCTTGCAGTCATTAATGTAGCAGCGAGTTGGTTGATAGTGGTACTGTATTGGTGGACCACGTCAGTGCCAATCCTTCTCCACGATGCAGCTTCTGGAGCAACAACTACGGTAATGCTGACAACAAAGAGGCAAAAGAAATATTCACGTTAGAATACCACTAGATCAGCCATTCCATAGATGCTATAATCTGCTAGCAGTATCTGATACCAATTCAGGCTAGTGGAGGCATGCTAAAGAGCATAGAGTTGTCATCCATGATTCATCAATCGCCCCTCAAGTTCCTGGTGGCTCAAACATCAAGTGCAAAAAGAAAAGATGTGAAAAACACCAAAAAAAGAAGGCGCATTCGCATTTCGAACGCCGGGATTTGCACCCGGGCTATTGACATTGTTAGCAGGCGTTTGAGCAGTTGACAGCTGCGGCACTCACTCTCTCCCTTGGGAGGGGAGCAGGTTCACTACTACCCCACGTCCGAGTTGCAAGAGATTGTTTGTATTGTAGCTGATAAAGGTCTCTGATGGAGTACAGTAGCTAGAAGCAGCTGGAGCTGACAGCTGGCACGGGTGGGCGTTGTCTGTGCGATGCTGGCGATGCTGCTGATAGGCGAGTGTTGGGGAGATGGGAGATTTAGCATCGGATGGCAGCAGGATGTCATGCAGAGTGCCGATTTCAACTAGGATTATTTCTATTTAGCATATGATTATGCTTTGAGGGAATATTGGATCAATTATTTATTATCAAGACATGTCACAGAGATTCAGAGTTGGCATATACCCCAAGTAGAAACAATTGTTCATGAGGACAACAGCGTTTTGGTATATATCCCATACTCGTTGACTACTTCGGACAGCAACAGTTTGACAACATAAAGTACGGGCTGTCGAATTATTAGTATAACCGAACATGACCAACAGCCGGGTAGACAGATGCTGTGGAGCAGGGCAAGGTCAACTAATGGATGACACCTCAAGGCTGAAGACAGGCCCAATGTAACACACACACATTGCAGCTTGACGGGTGACTGAGTGCTCACCAGCGTATGTAGTTGCAGCATCAAGTCTTTCTTGATAATGAAATGCATATAGTCTGCTCTGCTACTCTCAGTCCACAGTACTATCCCACACAGCCCCGGCGGGATGTAACATGTATATCGCCTCTGTGGAAACCCCCAGCATCATCACCACCCATCTCGTCTCCCCACCTCCAACCCAGAACTACCTAGTAGCCGTTAGACCTCATCTAGCAGTAGCTCTGCCCTACCAAACACAACGCCAACACTGTTCCATCCCCGGGTCGCTCATCCGCCGCATTTATGGGTCTGAATTAACCATTGAATGCGGAACCAACACGCCCCCATGGCCCTACCTTTTTCCTGAACCGTACCAAGCGTGCTACCCTCCCCATCCTCCAGCAGCCCTGTCAGGTAATCATGGTTTCTGACACTTAACTTATTACTGTACAGAGTAGGTGTACACTATGGCGCTTATAAATGCCTACTGTTTAGCGACCAGCTTCTTGCCCTAGGTTATGTAATTTTGATGCTCAGAACTTCTCGGCCTTGACCGCTGCACCGTCTCCGATGCCTCCGTAATTCCGCCCGCAAATCCTCTGGCTGGCCGGAGCCCAAGCAAGTTTCGTCGCTCTTCTTGTGATTCGATATTCCGCTGACAAACCAGGGCTGGCCAGTCAGTTGGTTGGGTATTGCCAGGTAAGGAATACTTGCTCGGTACTTGGCGCTGGGTGCGCATTCTGGGCCATCCAGGTTCCCCGAGCCAGCAGCAGCAGCCCAGCACAGCCCAGCACAGATGCTCGTTGGTCGGCGGCATTCCAGCTACTTGCAGGTCCTGTCGCCTGGATGTCACCCCAGCTGCACGGGTACCTTGTGGATAAGACGAGGATCTGGGTTGATAATTGATAAGGCCTGGGTGGGATTCCCAGTCCCAGTTCTGCCGTTGGTCCCAGCCTTGACTCTTGGGTCTGGCCTCCTCGCAGCCTCACTTGTTTCTCCCACCTGCATCGAAAATCCTCTGTGCGAAATGCGCTGCTGCTGAGCCAATGTGTGCTGCCACGCCGTGCGCGCAGCTCCTATTCCTTGCCTCTGCTGCTTATTCCTGATGCTGCCTTTTGTTTCGTGCGCCCCAACCGGCAATTTTGCGTAGCCTTCTCGGAGACTTTTGGAACCCCGACAAGTCAACGGCCTGCGATTCTCTTCCCCCCCTCTGCCTAAGCCCTGCCTATCAGCTCCCAGTCGCAGAATCTCCCACTGAGCCGGAGTCGTACTGCGTCCTGTCCTTGTACTTCGTACGCGCCTTGTACTCGACTCGCATTCCGCTGCGCTGTCGACGTCCCGGCCATGGCTCCCGGAAATGCCCTGCCCGCGCCGGCTGGCCCACAGAAGCATCGGGCCTGCGACGAGTGCCGTGAGTCCCCGTGAGAGAATGTGCACGCTCCCGAGTCCGCGGGCTTGGGAAGCGGGCCAAGAGTTCCGGAGACTTTGATTCTGATTGTAGTTTGTTGTCTAGGTTTCCGCAAGATCGCTTGCTCCAAGGAGCCCGGTGGCTGCCTGCGCTGCCAGAAAGAGGGCATCAACTGCGTCTACTCACCCCAGAAGCCTATGGGTCGTCCCCGAAAGCGACGACACCCCCCCGAGAACACGGCTTCGTCTACTGTATCTGCATCCGTGCCTGTGACCGCTGCTCAGTCGGCGTCCTTGTTGGGCTCTGCTTCTGCTTCGTCTATTGCTTCTGTCGCTCCACCTGCTGCTATTCCCCTTCCTCCGGTCTCAGCTCCAACCACAGTTTCTCATTCGTCTTCTCTCCTGGCTGAGGGTGATGTCGTGGCAACTGCTTCGTATGGCGATGCAGGCCATCACCACCACCATCAACACCATCAACATAATCATCATCATCATCATCAACACCACCTACACAATGCCACTGCTCACCATCATAATCACCACCAACAGCCTCTGCCGTCGACAGAGCTGACAGACCATGCTCTGGACCTCCTGAGCCAGTCTCTGCCATCGGACACCTCTTACCTTGATCTGCTGCCTGACTATGACTCAAGCAATTCTTATCTGTTTGGGATGGACGACAATGCAGCCTATTCCTACTTCTCTCGAGACAGTCAAGGGCTGTTTGATGGTGTGGGGATGCCTGTTATGAACATGGGCCAGGCTGATCCGCTCGAGGGTATCAGCTTTGACGAGACAGACACCATGTCCAAAGATCTCAACGAGTCTCTGCAGAGATACATGGTTTCTCAATATCTACAGCCTCCGACACCCAGCGAGCCTAGCCCCAGCACACACTCCTCCAATTGCTTTGAACCGTTGGGCTCGACTGGCACAGACACGACGTCGCCGGAACTGGGACAAGCGAGGCCACACCCTACCAGCTCTTGCGACTGCCTCACTTCGCTTTCCATGGCGCTAGGCTCCCTGAATCGCCTTCCGTCCGATGTCTTGTCTGCTATGCGTGTCGCCCGCGAGGCTACCAAAATTGCGCACGATACCCTCAACTGTGCTCAATGCTACCAGGATATGTTCGACCTCTCCAAACCGCCGCCCATCTCGCGTTTCCAAAGTATGATGTGCCTTGGAGCTCTTGTTCCCTCCGCCTGCAACGCCTATGCCTCAATTCTGGAAATGGTGGACAGAGACACGGAGCGTGCCAAGCAGGAGAACCAGATGCTCTACTTCAGCTATAAGGATGTTGGTGGAATATGGACAAGAGTAGCCGCTGAAGACAGTGCCGGCAACTCTCCCGACTGCGAATTGCTTAGGAGCTACAACAACAGATTCCTGGAGCCAGATACTTGGCGGACAACTATGCGAGCAATCTTGAAGGTTGAGGTTTACGGGTTCAATAACCGAACGGCGTCTGCGCCGAGTTCGTTGGACTGCAACAGTTCATGCTCATACGTCAATGTGCACCGCGGACTCAGGGACGTAGTCACGCTTCTTGACGAGAAGAACCAAAGGAGGCACGACATTGCGGATGCTCTTATGCAGTCCAACCAACATCACATTATCTCGTCGTCTCCCTATTTCCTCATGTCGGGTCCACCGAAGCCCTGCCCGCGCGAAGATAGGCACTGCATGCGTATGCTTGACATGGCGAGGATGGCGCTGAGTAACCTGGTTATAACATAACCAAGTTTAAAAAAACGAGTTTTCGACATGGCGAGTGCGAGGGAAAAGGGCGTTTTGTTGGATATCTGTGCGCTTTGATTACACGCCACTCTTTTTTATTTCCCTCTGCTTTTCATTTCCTTATTTTTTTCTTTCTTCAAAATGAACACAATTCCCCCAATCATTTTTGTTTTTGTTTTTTGATATCTGGGACTATTGATACGGGCGAAGATGCTGGGCGTTCTTGGGGCCCATTGGGAATAAAAACGGGCATGAGCATGGGACGGTTTTTACATACACATTATACCGCGGAAAGATTGCAAGATATGAACCGTGGCCGGCGGTATCCGGGTGATCTGGTTCCGAATCACACACATTAGAAGGAAAATTTCAGACTTGTTTTTTCCCCCTACGGAAAAGGGGATAGGCTTATTGGCAAATTGATTTTTCTTCATTACAATTTATCTTTTTATGATACTCCTTGAAAGGCTTGACATGTGATACATATGAGGATATTTGCTTTCATTAAGAAAAGTAGCCAAAAGTAAAAACAGATAAGCATCCAGTATGCTCGACAACTCCGACTTTCATGCAGCAGCAATCCAATCCAATTGCTTTGTGTGTTCAAAACTCACTCCCGATAAACGCCGTTCTCAGCCAGCTTTCCGGCCCCCCTTCCGACCAATACGCTGTGATGCCTAAATCAAGCATAAAAAGGTAAAAGAATCCAAGAAAAAAAAAACATTAAACAAGAAAAAGAAGACGTAAACATTCTGCTTTTTGGCGTTCCCACCCATATGCATGCTCCATCTCTTCGAACCTCCCGCAAATGTCCATTCATATGCCATCCATATATTCCAATTTCTGCATTTCGAATCCAAATTCAAATATTCGCGACTTCACAATGGCTTTTGGGGTATATAGGTAATAGATCACTCCGAGTCCTCAATCATGGACAAAACGTCCATCTCCTCCCGCACCAGCCGCTCAAACTCCTCTCGCTCAATGCCCGACGACCGAGCGAGCAGAAATAAGCTGCGGATGCTGCGAGACACGTGCTGCTTGACGCCAAACTCGTTCTGCTCCTGCTTGCCGGCAGAGGCTTCGAGCCGGGCGACGGTGTGTGAGCCATTGGAACTGGCACTAGATTCGGGGCGCGGGTGTAGGAGAGCAAGCTCTTGAGCGGATGGGAGGTCGGACTTTGCTTGGTTGTGGATGCTGCCAGAGCTGCTGGCCTTGTCTGCGTCGTCAAAAGACCAGGACCTTCGGGTCTCGTTGGGGTCTGTGACGATAAAAGAGTCGGCAGCGTTGTTGGCGCGGCCGAGGCCGAGTGGTGGCTG